TCTATCCGGTTTCTGGTGTGTATGTGAGGTGGAATTCATGTCGACTTGTGTGAATCCTTGTGTTAGTGCACGCTGTCTCCCTCCAATCATCGAATCACTGAAGGCGTGAGAGTCTGTGATGAGTTCTCCATCGCCACTGATTTCGCCGACAGCCTCTCGACCCGTGATGAGTTCTCTCGTATGTGGCAGGATACAGACACAATGCGTGACAGTACAAGTATTGTGAAAGTAATGTCGAGGACCCCCACTGAATCTTTGTTCGTAGTATCGCTGTCTGAAATGTGATTTGTGAATGATGTGACGTTCATTCCACAAATGTGGAAAGCATTTCGAATTGAACATTGTTTGAAGGTCATGTAGGTAACTTGATATGACTGTGACTATGTGACTGTGACATTGCACTCAAAATGTCAACTCTCTATGCATAACACTACATCACTGTGTGCAATGTAAAACATAATTAATTATTTTCTTGCATTATGAGAGTTAACCCAGAGGAGGATTTATTCAACGGTAAGGAATAACAAGGGATATATGAAAAAACCGTCATTACCGTTTTCTTATATTTGTGAATTCAACTAATTTTACCGGTTCTAATTACTTTTCAGTCTATTTCATCTGCGCTCTTCTGCAATTGAGTAAATATATCTGTCTAATTATAAGAAGTCTGTGATACCATACTTGGCATGTATTTTATGTGATGAAAATAGTGTCAGGCAAGAATTAACTAACCTTCTTTCATCTAGTAAATAAACAATTCCTCCGTCCATCCTTACATACCTTCAAGTTTTACTTTTATTACTTCTATTATATTTATGGTCCTGTTAATTCTCTGTTTTACTCATAATTGCAAACACCAACTTATCTCCATGACGGCTGTAATCTATGTTTTTTCCTAAACCATATCATGTAGAAAGAACATTATATTCAATATTTTTAAACATGTTAGGATTTCTATACCACATTGACAATACTGTGTGGCACAAGCCAACGGCAATTTTCACTTGTATTCTTATTATTATTACCCTAGCTGTTATCATTATTATTGCTATTTCCATTTTATATGCTGCATTTTCACGTGAAATTCAATGAAGGTTTTGTTGGACATTAAGAAATCTTGTTTTACCTTGTTTTTTGTTGGTAAACTGCATGCATCATCGAATAATGCAGTTTGTTTGTCTGAACAGAAAAAAAACAAGCAAGAGAAAATATATTTTGCCTTAAGAAGGTGTTTTAATGCTTTTAATACTTTGGAAAACTTCTTGTAACCTAACACCGATAAATAGATAATTATCAGAAAATAGGATTCAGAATAAATTTCCGAAATGTAGATTGGAAAGTATCATGGAATTCTCATTTTATTCTGATGATCTACCATTGAAGATAAAAGCAGCTCGACATTTTCATTGTGATTTTTTCATACGAGATACATAGACTACCATTAAAACTCATATATCTGATACCAGTGGACTAGTTCACAGTCCCGCATTTCACCATGATTACCTGAGTAGTACATCTACTCTCTAAAATTCATGTTGAGAGTCATGGAGAATATCAGTAAAACAGGGAGTTGTTATACAGTCGGTTTTGATGTATACCTGTCTTCATAAATATTTTGAATTTATAAATGTTACAAATTTAGATTTTACATGAGATGCATATGACACTATCACGGAATACTAATTTAGAACATCCCACATAATGCTTATGAAACTTAACTAATTACTGTAAATGACATGCATAATCTGGAGGATGTCTGTTCTTACAATTCAGTAGTTCCAAAACAATATAATATAAAACTTCAGTCTCTTAATGAATCTAACTCAAGAATGTTTCATTGTAGAATCGAAATTGTTTGCATACATTTACCAATGAAATCTTCCATTTTAAGTAAAGAGGTCGTTTTCAGGTATTGGATTTGTAGGGAATTTTGTTCGATTGGTTGAAAGATTTCATCATTGGAATACCAGCTGGGAGTAATGGATAGCCAGCTGTTTCGTTAGACTTGTTTGCCCGTCTTCAGTAGTACACGCCCACCACAGGGGTTCGAAACCAGGACCTCGTGGTTACAAGGCCAGCGAGTTTGTAGAACATCGAGCAACTGGGACCTGATCCAATGGCCAGCTTGTGAATTCTAACTTCGGCCAATTCATGATGTAGCGTGGTCGGTTCGCAGTGAAGCTTAACAACGTATTGGCGGAGAATAATTTCAGGTTTTTTAAGGGATACTTACTAGTGATGCTGTCCCAAACGCAACAAATAATTAACATGGTTGAAATATTTTTAAACAATGGTAACTCAGCTTTTAAATTTAATTGCGTAAATGGATCTCATTCATAATACTCTTAGGCAAGCACAACTGACAAAACCCATCACTATTTAAGTACAGCAAATCCACAATCATCAAATCAACAGATATGGAACTTCCACAGTGAATTAAATTCAGGCTTGAGAACAAATCTGCTTATTTCATAGAGTCGAAATTACCCTTAACGTTCACACTCTTGAGACCTTGAAAGATAGGACAGATGCTTTCAATTGCAATATTTTATCCATTCTTATCAAGAAAATATACCGTACATTAAATTAGATTTAAATTACATATTGTCTTCAAATACCATGAAAAGTGTGTATGTCTACTTAACCGCTTCAGAGGTGCTTATGGAAACATTTCATCATGCTAGGTGATTATGTCCGGATATGACAAAGAGGTTAAGACTCTCGCCGACCATGCACACGGTCTGAGGTTCAAATCCCATCCGATGCACACCTGATATTAATTGTCGGCCTGGTAAATTTAGGTTATCGATATCACATGCTAAAAACTCCATACTTGTACCAATTATACGTTGTGGAATCAAGCTATATTCAAAGTTAAAAATTAAGGCGCAAAGTATGTACTTATTTTAAGGATATAATTTAGTACTGTGGCAGAATATAACTCCATGGTAGTTAAGTTTATTTAATGTAACACAGTGATACAGTATCATTAGATGGGTACGGTTTCGAGCATAATCTGTTGCTGATAATGGTATAAATGAAAGTCAAAGGATTTATTGAATGTGTTTTTTTCCTATAGATACTTGTATGTAACTTACCATCGTGTTTTAAGTTGAAAGTCTTATATGGCCAAATCACCTTGTTTATTTTCTAGCTCAAAAGTGAATTGCATTCCATCTACTACTAATTTTAAGCGTGTGAATAACTCAGAGATATGTGTGGATTTCAACACAGTGAATGTGTCGTCTACATATCTGCTCCATAACGTAAAAGCAGGATTAAATGTTCTAAGAGCTTTGTGTTCCGAGCTATCCCTAAATACTTGTGCTACTATCAGGGTGTTGGTGATTCCACTGCCACTTTATTGGTTTGTCTGTATACTTTATTTTGAAATTTGAATACAGTGCAGGTTAAACATATCTTTTCATCTCATTTGAAATCTGAGCAGCTTTTTCACTCTCATACATAGTGCAGACGTTTCATGTTCACACACAGACTTTTTCTTTTGTCACAAGGAGACTCATCGTACTGAAGTTTCTGTAGCGGTTTTGCTTACGGGGTGGGGTTGCTAGCTTCACTTCTGAGAATGGGGTTGTTACATAAATATGTAGGTTACAGAGAAGCGACTGTTAGGGTTGCTCCCTTTTAGAATCAGGAAAACAAGAAATATAGCAATCAGAACAACAACAAAGAATCACAACATGAAAGGCAGCAACAACAACAAAAACCGTAGCAGTATTTTTACTGTCAAATACAGTTAACAAAATTTATATCAAAGCCATAGATTCACTGATTTAGGTCAACTTGGGCTTATTCCTATTTGTGACTTCTGGATCAGTGTCTAGTTCATTCCTAACTGCCTACAGAGCTACATTATTATTGGGATACTTGTGCACAGACTGGTTAGATCGCAACTAATCATTTTGTCTTCCTTTTATATTTGAATTTACTCTGTGACATGAGCAGTAAATTGTGTTCAAACGTCATCCAGTTATTAATACTGTATTACTGGGTATTATGCAAAAAAGTATCTTATATGGAATAAAGTATGTAAATTCAGTCAGGTTCTGCAAGCAACATTTTGAGTTTTATTTCATTTTGTTTATATGGTAACCAGTAATAAAGCCGAGTTTTTACACTCTGTTCTGTATAACACAGTTAAATTACAAGCCTCACATTCCTTTGAACGATAGTAATTACATTTTTATTAATTTAAAATTTCATAGGCCTCCTAAAGTCACTGGACTGCTCAGATATATTGTTGAAAAACTAAGATTCTATAGTCAATGGATGTTAGTCATAATTTTTTTTTGATTAAAGCTTGATTCCACACCGTTTTTTTTGGTACAGGTATGGAATTTTCAGCATGTGATATCAGTAGCCCAAATTTTGCAGGCCAACCATAGATATCAGGTGTGCAACGAAAGTAAAATTCAAAATAGTATCGGGTTGTTCACATAGCAATGACAGAAAGAAAACAGAAAGCAGCCACTTCAGTACTACAAAATGACCAGTGAGAGACTTCGAAGCTTGAATAAAGGGCAATGCGAGGTCAATGTAAAGTTCTCATCTCTTCTGGTGAAGGAAAATTCCACGTAAAAGGAAGCCACATGAACTGATTGTATGTAGAAATTTGCCTCGTTTACCAGTATGACAGAGTGCGTTTATATTAAAGTCGATTGAAAGGTAATATCCTCAAGTTGTGTAAAGAGGAATATAAATTTCATACTTGCTGTTTAAAGTATTCCGTCCATAGCTTTTAAGTTTAACATAAATGCCAGCCATCTGCCTACTAGCGGTTGTTTTCTTCAAGTTCGAAATGTTTTTTGCATTCGTGAAGTGGAAATATTTTTCAACGTACATTTACACAGTTCTTAGTCATAGCGAAGCAAGATTAAATTTTTCTAAATATATTTTTTCAAATTATTACTGTCCTAGATTTCAGTGAGATATTTTTTTTATTATTCCTACTTTGTAAAATATAGCTGACTGGCAATATTTGTTAATCAATGGGATCTATGCTCACAGAAAATAAAGATACAAACTGAAATATTAAAAGGTGAAAGAATGAACTTATTGATTTTCATCCGTTGGTGTTCTGTTGATTTCGAAAGCTTCATTCTCTTCATTACTAACTGATAAGCTGACAAAATTATCAAAGCCGTCATCATTATTAAAGTATGAATTACACGAGCGCATAGCCAACCCTTATTTTGTTGACCATGAAATCAACCAATGAGATTAGTATGGGATAGACTGACAGAAATAAATTTGCTAATCGGTTAACGAATTCTGGGGAAAAGGTGGTTTTTCATCCTATCACATCTTTTAGTGTATATATTTGACTATAATTAGTGTGTGCTTGCATGATATATATATACGTATATATATGCATAGATGTACATTAATTTTCATTATTCTCAAAATTATCAAATTTTAATAATTCAGATGACACAAAATACTGCCTTTTTTATTTAATAAATGAAATAACGTTTGTTGATTAACAAAAGGTGATATTACCGTCCAGTGGTGGATGCTATGGAACAGTTATGCTATTGTATTCGATGATAATAATAATAATAAACAAAACAAGATTTCAGCATTTGAGTTGCCTTCAGAAGTAGTGAACTGAGGAAACTTTCTGGTGATTTATGTCTTCAACAGGCAATACCTCTTGTCATACACCATTGTACAAAGAACCATCAAATTCAGACACACAGGTGGACGCTGCATACAGGCAATACGAGACTGATTTAAGTCCATCTACACTTGATAATATCAATAAAACTGCATCATCAGAGTCATATCAACAAGAATCAAGTCAAACAACCAATGAACGTGATTTAAATTATGATGATGTATTAACTCTACATGTTCCAGACTTTAACGAAAATTTATGGCAGAAAAAGCATTCTCGAAGTTTCTTTAAATATCATTCATGTCACTGTTTGGATTACATAACGCGAAAAATACGCGTCAATAAATCGCAAAGGAAACAAGAAGATATGACGAAGAAAAAAACTGGCCCTATGTCAAATCGTATTCATAATGGTAATCATTTAAATTCATTGTATGAAAATGAAGTGGACATGATGATGACAACCGACGAGAAAAAAAGAGGTAAAGAACCACAGACATCTGAGACGAATAATGAAACATTAGCTGATTCAGAAGATGTAGACAAAACAGAGGAAAATAGTATGCGTTGGACAACAAATTTTCTGGCAGCACTAAGTATTTTTCTCATTGTAATCACATTTCCATTTTCACTTGTCTACTGTATCCGTATTGTTGCAGAATATGAACGTGCTGTTGTTCTGCGTATGGGTAACTTAATACCTAAGGGTAAAGGCACTAAAGGTCCTGGATTATTTTTTATTCTACCTTGCATTGACAGCGTGCGGAAAGTGGATTTACGTACAGTAACATTTGCAATACCACCTCAAGAATTATTGACACGTGATTCTGTCACCGTTTCTGTTGATGCAGTTGTTTACTATCGTGTACTGAATCCAGTGGCATCCGTATTGAATATTGAAGATGCTGCGCGATCCACTAGATTACTAGCACAAACAACTATACGTAATGTTTTAGGAACCAAAGATTTGGCACAAATTCTTATGGATAGAGAAGAAATATCCGCAGCAATGCAGTCGAGTCTGGACGCAACAACTGATGCATGGGGAGTCAAAGTAAGGATTTATTTTTACATTCGGGTTATTGCAAGAAGTAGTTTGCACTTCACACAAACATTTTGTAAAATACCCTTATTTTTAGGAGAGCAGAATGGTTGCCAGGTTTGAAAAGGTTTGACTGAAGAAGAGGAATCCGACTGACTGTTTTATAAGGTTTGTTCATCAATATCTTGAACAGTACTCATCCAAAGAAATAAAACAATAACACTTACACGACACTCGTTATGACTAGGTGACTATTCAGTCAAATGTATTTTAATCCATGGGCTGAGGAGACCTAACAGTTTTTAGTTAGATTTGTCTAAGAATAGTATTAAACAGTGATTATTAGCCACCACTGTCTCAGTACACGCCATTTTGAGTAGAAGTCTACAAGGGAGTCGATCAACCTCTGAAAAACCTTTTAGACGAGTGTCTTTCTTCAAACTTCTCAGAACTATAAACCTTTGACTTGAGCCTTATTACTTGTACGTACGAATAAATTCAATAGCATAGAAATGCTGAATTTTATTCAAATTATTGGACCACAATTCATTTACCATAGGAAATATAAAGTCTCACTGGTTTTTTAATTATGTCTTTTCCTAGCATAAAACTCCATAAGTCATTCTTGTAACATTAATAAGATTACTGAATCTATTTATTTCAATGGAAGCGTAAATACAACAACAAAAAATGCATAAATATGCACTATGGACTCCTTGTTCTGAAGGCTGAAATACACATTTAGACAAAAGGGAAGTTTCAGAACAGGTTTTCTTATTGTGAAAATTAAACTGCTTGTGCGTCTTTAAAAGTCATTTGTTTAGAGGTAGAATGCACGCCAACCACGCATGTGGTCCAGGGTTCGATCCCTGGCAGATGCACTGCTAAATCTAGTTAAGCCGGTAAGTAGGGAAGCTTGGGCGTGAGGCTATCAACTCCATCCTATTAAAATGAAACAACCTTTACCAACACTTCAGAGCTCCAGTTTGAATCTCTATGGTCCACTCGGAACGTGAAAGAATAGAATGATAAATTTGTCTGTTTAATGGCCTGTAGCTTCTCCATGCAGTGCTGCTGGTCCCTCAAACATAATTTCCAATTCATAACACACATACATCTATTTTAAACTCTCTTTGCCACAAAAAGTGAAAATAGCTATCTTCACAGCGCCATATACCATAATTTATCCACCTCTTTTACAAAATACACTCACCAGAAGAAGATTCCGACTAATTGTTAACAATGACTGTAATTGTCGTAAAAGGTAGTGTTTTGAAGGGGATACATATAAGTCAGTGAATGCTTTCATTTTGAGAGAAAAACAAAAATCGACTGTCTTACGGAAGTCAAAAAATAAAAACGTGCATCATTTAACAGTTGTTTTCGAACATATGTTTTCGGAATAAACAGACTCTAAAATAAAGTTCAAAACTGGTTTTGTGTTTCACAAAAGAAGACTGGTGAAAAAGACTTTAATTTCTAAACGCAGAAAAAAAAACTTTGTCCTCTATGTTATCATAAAATTTACATATACATTAAATATCAAATAACAAAGTAAATTAGTTAGTCTTATATTTCGTTAATGATTTTATACAATGATTCATCCTGTGCTATATAAGAAATGACTCATGGGTAATCAAAGCAGTTTTCCTAAAGAAAACATTAATATTAAATGTAATTTAATATTAAGTCACTTGTAATTGCCTAATCATAATTTTAAGCAATAAATTTCGCCTGAAAATGAATCATACACTGGTAACAATAACAGCAGTGGATTCACCGTAAGTTTAGGATTATATCACTTGTACAGATAAAAAGGGAAACTTGGAGAGTTTTCGAATCATCGGGATCTTGTTTCACCATCTGTTGTTTCTGTTTTTATTAATAGATATGATAAATTTCAAATTTTCGTCTGTGGCTGTGTGCAGCAGTAAAGGAATCTTCAAATAACTTTGATTAACCCCTATTTACAGATATTTACCAAAAGTGTGCAGACAAATAGAACTGAAGCAGGATGAACCAAAGTGAAAGTCATTGAATGACACATTCAGTCATCAGACAGAATGGAACCTTTCCATCCTCTTTCTGAAGCATGGTTTTTGATTGAAATCTATGTAAAACAATGTAGAAATCTCTACACTCAAATATCTGTGCGGATAAAAAGTGGTTTCAGGGTGGAGTTATTTCAACTATTTTTCACTGAAACGTCTTGTTTTTATGAAGTCCTAAAACAGTTGAGATTCTTTTATGAATAATTTGCCTTGCTAAAGTGATGTAATATGAATGTACTTCTATTAAAATTTAGATATCCCATAAAATATTAGTTTCATCGCAATCCGAATTTTACGGGTGAATTATTAGCCATTCTTGTCTAGGAATGCTTGGTTGACCCATTCTTCAGTCTCTCTATAAATCTTAGCTAATTTATATTGTGTGCGTCAGCGGTTCAGTGGTGGAATACTAGCCAACTACGCCAGTCGATTACCGCTTGACGTACTCCTAAATCTCGCCAAGTCACCAGTAACCCCAATAAAGAGGGAATGTTGGGTGCGACGCTACCAAAGCCAGCCAGTAAAAGTAAAACCACTGTCACTAAAAATTCAAAGATTCAGCTTGAAGCCTTGTGTTCCACTCGGGATTCAAATGGGTAAAATAAATAAATTAGTAAATCTTGTGCTTTATTATTGGGAAATGTACAAGTTATATTACAAAAAACCACATTGTTTATATGTATAAATCTGTGGGAACTGACGAATTTTAATTTTGTTGTTAGCTAACCTTAGACGTGTTTAAATTTAAGCAAACCATGTTTTGCGTGAATAAAAAGTGATTTCTAGTGATGAAAAGGTTTTTCAAGGCATACTTATGTCAGTGATGTTTTAGTGTTGTGGAAGTAGTGATAGCCAAATATAAGGTCACTTACAGGTGTTTAATTCACGAAATTATCATTCATGTTACGCTGATGTCTGTGAACCACCATAATATTTCATCCTGAAAACTGATGAAAAGTGGTATGAAATACCCTAAATAACACGCATCAATAAAAGTATTCTAATCTCAGTTAATGGCTGATCCATTTATTCGATGTGAATTGATAGTACTTTTTAAAAATGACCCACATTATGCTATATATGCTGCTATTAGCGTACATATTAAATACTGAACACTATCAGTATGCTTCTAATTGTCATCTCCAGAATGTGCAAATTAGTCCTGTTCTTCTCGTTAAGTATTCTTATAGCACTCCAGATATCGTTAAGCTATATTATATACTTGAGTGGTGCACTCAAATATATAATAGCTGCGGCTGATTGGTTTTAGAGCTTATACCCCTACTGCAGGGATACAAGTTCAAACTTGACCTCATCTACAGACATTTAGTCAATTACGTAACATGATTAGTCCTCATACAGTAGGTGTTCCTAAGTGCATTTGAATGCAAGTGATCGTTGAGTAACATTTCATTTAATTTTCATAACACACCCAAGAGTCTTTCATGCGACTATCTTATGTATGTTATCCACCTAAATTACTCCTTTTTATTGCAATTATTTTCCATAGTTTTCAAATATTAATAATACTAAACTCAACTGCGTGTAGTTTATTAAAATTTGTTAGCTACATTGTCTTTCTGCTTGAAAGTTTATAATTTCTAAAGTGATATATTTTGTTGACAGGAAGCAAATCATCCTGCAAACCATTTTTAATAAGGTCATGAAGTCGAAGTATTAATTTAAATGTTGCACTGAACCGCCAAACAAAGACTTTGAGGAATACAAAATAATTTCAGTTCATTTACTGTATATAAACACGGTATAGTTCGTTGCGAATTTATGTGTTGTAGTTCTTTACTAGTTGAAAGAAATAGGTGAATTACCACTATGCTTAAATTGGTTATTTAGACCACATGTAAACGTCATCGTAAGTGTTTACTAATAGATTCCTGAAGACGTGAACTTATGTCTAACTGGGCCAAAAGTGTTAGTGCTTTTTTCATATTTTTCTTCCCATGAATTATCTTTGAGGTAAAAATCTCACAAATTCCACTTCACCTGGATGCATGCTCATTGTTGACCTGAAATCACTTTGTGAATACACGATAAAATCTTAACTGGAAATATGTTATATCTTTGTGGATCAGGATGATAAGGGTAAAAATCTTTTTCACATTAACATTGCGAGTGCAGAGTTAAAACTTACGTGTTTTCCAATAGAGTAGTTATTTAACTAAGTTGTGCGGCTGTCCCACACTTCACATTCCAAGTAGGAGATCATATGTAGGCAGCCCATAAATGTGATACCTGTACCCTCAGATTTGTCAAAATTTGCAAGTAAGCCTTGTTAGATTTATAAATAAAACTGTCAGTTGATGTAGAGCGTAGAACGAGTGAATTTAAGAAGACAAAACTTTAGTGCAAATCAGTGAAAACCCTGAGATATTGTAACACGTGCAGAAAGTATGAAATAGAAGCATTCTGTGAGATGACAATTTAACTAAATCATTTTATTACGGTTGGTAATTACTGGTAATTATCCATTTTATATCCTATTAGACACCAGTAAATGAGATGACAAATGGGATTATAGAACTGCATATGTTTCTGGTAATACTTTATGACTTTAAATGAATTCTGAAACACAAACTGCGTCACCGGGATTTGGACTCAGAGACGAAAATTGAGTATTATTCACTAGGTTTCTAATCCACAAGGGCCTTGTTTTAGTTGTGCACTTAAATATTAGATTATTTCCAGCGAAACATGTGTTTAGAGCTTAGTAGAAACACGTAAACAAAACGGATTTGTTTTATGGTCAGTGACTGAGAATCGAATTGCTTTGAGTTGTCATTATTGGAATCGCGATTACAAAGAGTGCAATTATTAACCAATTTACTATAAGTGGTGATATTAACAAATAGTAGTTCCCTATCATCTAAGTGTATCGGTAATTTGTTTGTAATATACTCTTTGTTAGTAAGCATTTTTTTAATTGATTGATATTACTAATCGCTG